ACTAGTATTCACTTTTAAAAAGTATACAAAAACATTAAGAATAATATCTATTCATATTTAATTTATATAACCTGTGATATAAACAACTGAATATAGGTAGTAACCTGAAGCAGTATAAATTCCATTCATGAGATCAACTTAAATACTATATTAAATGAAAACTGTATTTTCACATAACAGCTTTTGTTTTGTTTTGTTTTAATTAATTCCCGAACAGAATAATCAACATACTATAACCAGGAGGCATTTCAATAGGAAATGGCATTTGGAAGAATAGGCCCCAGCCTTTAAAATGTTTATCCCACAAAATTCCCAAAGCTAGCCATAGCTACCAACTCTGACAACTGTCAGAGGTGATAATTTAATAATCAACTGTCTGTTAATTCATTTTTTTAAATGTGGTAGTATTATCAGATGTGCGATCTGTTGAGCTGTCAAATTTCTTCAGGGCTCCTCATACCTGCAGACTAACTTGCTATGGGAGTCAAAAAGAGGAGACAAAAGAAACTGGCATCCAAGTTGTACTAAGAGGAGTTCTCTACTCAAGTTTCATGAAAAGTGCTCTAAATAGCTCCCTCTGACAAACACAGCATGACTCACTTTTCTTCCTCGGGTGAGGGGGTGAGGTTACACACCCTGGACAGAACAGGAAAGGAGAGGTAGTGCACACCCCCATTGTACTGCACAGTTCACAATATTCGTGACTTCCTTCTGGTATAGGCACATTCACACCCCTCCACCTATCCTGGTAATTAGACCATATCACATAAAACAACACTGCTGGAATTCTCTGTAATAGCTAATGTTGTTTAAAAAAAGTTTGTTAAACGTCTTTCAAACACTACATGTATTAAATACTCTTTCTCTGGTAGACTAGAATCTTAACAAAGGCACACCCAAGAAGGGTCTAAGTAGAGTTAGATTTATTTACAAAACTGAAAATTTGAGCCCTATACTGAGATCACATGAAAATACCTTGCTTATTTATGGTGATGAATAGATAGGAATTTTGTTTTATTTTTATTTTTCTGAATTGTCCACATTTTCCACAATAAACATTATTCTTATAAAAACATAAGCAGAATACATTTTTTAAAGAGAAAGGATTTTCAGCTAATTTGATCCAGTCTTGTCAATACTCTCTTTGTATTCCAAAATGTTTTGTCTTATTTAAGACACCATACAGAAATAGGCACCAATGTATTAACCCTGTCATCATAAACAACAGAAAATTTTTTCTATTTCCTTAATCTCTACAAATGTTTAGAAGATCCGTATGTTCTATATGTCTTAATATACAAAATATATGGATTGCCATATACTACAGAGAATATATTGACTTTCAGATAGCTGAAGGATGATTTGCAGACCATAAATTCAAGCAAGAAATTTAATACATATCCCCTACTTAAAAACTCACTTTTGCTGGAGCGCCTGGCTGGACCAGTCAGTTAAGCATTTGACTACTGGTTTTGGTTCAAGTCATGATCTCACTGTTTGTGAGTTCAACCCTGCATCGGGCTCCATTTAACAACACAGAGCCTGCTTGAGATTCTCTCTCTCTTTTTGTCTCTGCCCCTTCCCTGCTTATGTCCTCTCTCTCTTAAAATCAATAAACTTAAAAAAATGTTAACTCACTTTTGCTAATATTTGTTTTATATATATATATACACACACACACACACACACACACACATAGCATACAATGGCCTCTTTTGACACAAATTTAAGCAATATGAAAAGGTCAGAAAAAAGTCAGTAAACTACAAGAAAAACAATAAAAATTACTCAACCTGAACAAAAGCAGAATGAAAAAAAAAAGAGAGAACAACATGGACCTGTAGAACTATAACAACAACCAAAAGCTTTGCTAAATAGCATGCTTGCCTTTTAATTCAATTTGGCCATGAGACCACCTAGTACTTTTCTGTCACTTACCTAGCCAAGGTGATAAAATACGCCCTAAGTCAACCTGCCCTTTTATTCATGTGGTAGAAAAAGGAGAGAGACCCTTCTTGGTGTGCAAGTAAAATCATTTGAAAAAAGTTTTCTTTGGAAGTACTACTTTCTCTAAAGGATAAATTTAAGATCCTCTTAAATTGAATGTGAGTTTTGAAGACTCAAGCTGTTACTCTTATCACTGTGAATGGTAAAAGCAAAATGACAACCATGACAATACCACCTGGAATTTATACTGGTCTTTAGAGTGAAAAGGTCAAAGTATATGTGAGGTCTTAGAACCTATCTCAGATATGTTATTGCTCTCATAGATACACTGAAAAACTTAAACTGAGTTTGCAAAGGTGTATGTCTCACTAAAGGCCCAGAATAAGTCGCTCACTATAGGCAGAAAAAAACCACTCATATCCAATACTACATCTTCCAATAAACACTACAATTCCAAGTATGGGACTGGTAAGTGTGGCCGTACACAACATAATTAGCCCTTTGGGGGCAGGCTGCATTATATTAGTGAATTCATTCATTCATTCATTCATTCATTCAAGAATATTAAGTGAGCTCATACCATATGCCAAGTATTGCCCTAGGCACTGGGAAGGAATGTTCCTAATCTCACAGATTACATTCTGGTGGGAAAAAGCAAAAAATAACCAAATCAAAACAAAGTAACAAGTGAATAAATGCTAAGAGGAAGAGGAAAAAAGCAAAGAAAGGTAACTAGGAAATGATAATAATTTACAGATGGTCTTATTTTCTATTGCATGGTCAAGGAAAGCATCCACAAGAAAATAGCATTTGAGCAGGTATTTGAAGGAAGCTAAGGTTCAGTGAGAATGTTAAAAGTATAATTTTCAAACAGTAAAAATGTGACTCATATAAATACAATTTGAACATATGCCAAGGATTTATTCTTCTCATTTATTTTTTTAAATGTTTTTCATTTATTTCTGAGAGAGAGAGAGAGACAGCGTGAGCAGGGGAGAGTCAGAGAGAGAGGGAGTCACAGAATCTGAAACAGGCTCCAGGCTCTGAGCTAGCTGTCAGCACAGAGCCCGACGCGGGGCTTGAACCCACGAAGTGTGAGATCATGACCTGAGCCGAAGCCAGACGCTTAACCGACTGAGCCACCCAGGCGCCCCTCATTTATTAATAAATGAATAATTTATGTTATGATTTAGGGTATCAGATGTTAAGACTGGTTCGAAGAACATTTGAAGATATGTGTGTGTATATCTATATCAAATATACATTTCACATATATCATATAGATTTCATATTTTCTATATGTATTCAATATTACCCTATATATATTCCATAAATACTTCTTATATATAGAAAGAGAGAGAAGAATTAATGATGTGTTAGACTAAGAAAGAGTGGTAGATTGGAGACAAAACTGGCCAATGTCGTACAGGGCAATAAAGAGTATTTTTGAGGTTATCATACCAACAGAAATTACTTACATCTCTTCTAGAAAAAAACTAATTAACATGGAATGTCAATATATCTGAGACTTCCAGTCAATGGTAAACAGTGAGTTGAATAAAGTATATGCTCCAAAATAATCCTAAGTCTATTAAACGATATCCCCATAAGACATTGAAGGAACACAGCTCACACTTTCCCTTATTTTCAAGTTTTGTTTTTTTTCTTTTTTTAAACAGATCTATGCAGATAGAAGAGCATTCCAGTCAGAAGCCTGAGAATGAATCACAAACCATTTCCCTCTACTCACCACTCCAATAGCCAAGGAATGCCCTCCCCAACACAGACTCACACATTCACCTGGACCTTATTAAGAAGTTTGGTGTAAGTAAATAGCTGGAAAAATTGGAGAAGCCAGAAGATTTATATTGGAAAGAGACTGAGAATTGAGGTTGGGACATGATTTGATTTACATTTTTAAAAACATTACCTGCTGAAATAAAAACTCATTAAGGAGAAGAGCAAGGATACAGGCTAGAAGACCACTTAGGAGACCATTAAAATGATCTAAGCAAATAAACAACTAAATATATAGCTTGTCAAAAGTAAAAAGTGCCATGGAGAAAAACAAAACAGAATATGAGAAGGTTGATAGGGATGTCAGTATTATCTGGAAAGGTCTTCTCTGAGAAGGTGGTATTTGCACAGAGATCCGAATGATATAAAAAAGAAAACCATGCAGAGAATTGAGGGATATGCCAAAATGATTGAGGAGAAAGAGGAAGGGAAAAGATGAGGGATGATAAAAGAGAATGCACTGCCTTGTAAACCATTTTAAGGACTTACTTGGCTTTTTTAATTTGAGATGAGAAGCCATGAAGGGGTCAGAGCAGAGAAAGGACATGATCAGCTTTAAGTATTAAACAGATCACAGTGGCTGCAATGTGGAGAACGGTCTGTAAGTGGGCAATGACAGAAGCATAAAGATTAGTCAGAAGAGCCTTTAGTATTCCAAGGAGAGATAAGGATGGATTAGAGTAGGTAGGTAGGAGTGATCCTAATAACAGATAGTCAAAACCTGGATATTTTGAAGGCAGAGCCAACAAGTTTTGATAAAGGAACAGACATGGGGTAAATGGATCAGCCCTAGCTACTGGAAATACAGAGCTACCATAAATTGAGATGGGAAGGACTGTAGAAGAAACAAGTTTATTAAGAAAATTTGGGGAGAAGAGGAAACACTGATTACAATTTATGAAAAAGGTCAAATATCTCAGTTTGGGATTTATAGAATTCCAAACTCCTTCAATGTGATCACAGTAAGAAAAATCAGAATATTAATTTCTTTTTTTCCCAGAAAATCAATTTCTAAGTTTTATCCATCAGAAACTGTATCTTACACTACACTGAGTCTCAACTAACACTCATGGCTTCTCAGATTCATACTTTTCAAAATGGCATTTATCATCGATTTGATCCATTGTTGGTCCTTCTTCTTATGTATTTAAGCAAGCATCTGACCCTTCATAAATTATTTATTGAACACTTTTTGAAATTACACTACATACTTCAGAAAAAGGCATACATATTAAATTTAAATTCACTGGGTTTACCTGAAGTTCTTTGTATCTATCTTGAAAAGAAATGGCCTCTTGCTCTTTTTCTTTAAGGAAATCTTTTTCTAAGACACTATGCTTTTCCATCAATGATTCCACATCCTAAAGAAAAATCCAAGCATAAATGTTATAATATTTTATAATGGCATACAATATATACAGTTTGTCTCAGTGAACACAGCGGAAAACATCTGGTAAGGGAAGAACCCAGAGGAATATGGTTCAACAATATTACATATTGCATGCCCCCCCTATCGTTTCCAGACCAATATTAACATTGACTTAACACCAAAATTATTCACACTAATAAATGAATAACAGCATCTAAATTAACTGTAATTAGCATAAACTATCTCTACATATACTTTCTATAAATTTGCAAGTCTTTTTATAGATATATTTGTAGGAGAGAGAAATGAGAACATAAACAAATAATTCACTAAAACACCTGTATATCTAAGTACTCTTGGCAAATATTCCATGATACATAACTTCCCATAGGGACAAGCCAAAGTTATAAATCTTCTAATCATATAAGAGACACAATACATATAATACTACCTGTTTTCAAAGTAAATAAAAATCAGAAGAAAAATATTAGAGGCAAAAAATCTAGTAGATGCTCATATCTTTAACAGTACATATCTAAGTCTAGTAATTATTTAGCAAAGACTTTTCTAAGTGATACACTTATAAAACTAACTTAAATCTACAGCCAGGGGAAGAGAGCATCTTCTCCCACTCATGAGTTTTTTGTTTTTTTTTTTTTTAATTTTTAAAAATTATCTTAGAGAAGGGGAGAGAGAATCTTAACCAGGCTCCACATTCAGCACGAAGCCCAATGCAGGGTTCACCTCACGACCCTGAGATAATGACCAGAGCCGAAATCAAGAGTTGGATGCTCAACTAACTGAATCACCCGGGCACCCCAACTCATGAGCAATTAATCAGAGACTGGGACTCTATCAAGTTTCAAGTCTTACAATTCAAACATTTATTTTTTAGGCAAATGTAAATATACCTTTTTAATTCTCTGTTTTTCTTCTTCAGAAACTTTGAGTTTAATCTCCAGACTTGAAATTTTCTGCTGAAGCTGTATGTTTGATACATTGGCTCCAAGATCCTCAGAATCATCCACAAGGGCAATTGTTCCATTACTTTTCTCATCATTTAAACCCAATGGAAAAAGTGAGATATCCAGATGAGTGTGTGTTGATTGCTGAATCTAAACCACATTAAAAAAAAAATACACAAGAGGGGAAAGTTTACACTGTACCAATAATGAAAACATCCAAAGGGCACCAGAAACCACATTTGGAAATTAAGTTGTAGCAAAGGTTCTGAAATTATTTCACCCTTTAAGTAAATCAACAGAAGACCTCAAACTGTTACAACAACCTGATTATGGCAGTTAAGAAACAAAACTCCCTCTAAACTTCAGAGTCTACAGCATTTATTATTTTGCAAACAAAGCAGTAAAAAAATGGAAACGTTTTCTTATGCTTGAAAGCATACAATTAAGTATAAACACACCTGACACTCACCAGTCCTTAAATTTATACACACATCCAGAATGTGTATATATTTTAAATTGTAAGTCAGAATTTGAAATTTACCAGTATCTGCTACTTGATCATCACTCTAGTAAAGATAGCAGGTGACTCAAGGTTGTGTCCTGCACGTCAGAAATCTGGACTAACTGCAGCATCTAACACAATGCCTGGATTAATAAATATGTGAATGAATAAACCCCATGACTGCTGTCTTTATGGTTTTGACTCTAAAATTAAAATGAACATTCTAAAATCTAAATTCACAGGGTAAGCCTCCCTCAACAGAGAAATATTTTTTTGTAATTATTGTTTTCTTTTGAAGTCCAAGATTTGAAATGCAAAGCGAAGCCAATTTTAACTAATGATATACTCAAAACTAGATTTTGGTAACTATGACTACATAAAATTCTTTGCAATTATGCCACAAAACATATTATTCACTTTTTGGAATTCTAGATATTAGCCTCCAAGTTAAAATATCTACAAAAATATTTCTTTCGGAAAAATAAGTAAATAAAAGTAAAGAAAGAAATCAGAAAAGCTTCACTTAAACCAGTAGGCAACTTTTTAAGTATACAAACTTCTTATAAAAAGTACACTTGTCTTTACCTGTGCTTTAGGAACAGTTTGATTGACAATGCTGTCTTCTGTGTGTGTATTCTCTGGTGATGAAATGACGGACTCCGAAGAGAGGCAGCCAACTGAAGAAGAGTGGTCATGATCCAGGACAATCTCAGGAGAAGCTGGAGAAAGATGGACTCCAGATACTAGAGAATAAACAAACAAACAAACAAACAAATAAGAGTATCAAAGAGAATGGAAAGAATGAGTTTAAAGAAAGAAAGAGAACAAACAGAAGGGAAGAGAAAAAGGTAAGAGAAATACAAGCACTGAGACTGGAAATGAAGATTCCATGACTACTCCTAAGGGACCATTACCTGAAATCTAAAACTAATATTTCTAAATTTAACATGACATTTCCATGTGAGACCCAGCCAATAAAACAATTTAATAGTGTCTTAGTGTTTGCATACTAATGCACTATCATAAGAAGTCCATTTCTGAGAGGAAGTACTCCAATATATTTTTCATCTATAGTCAATTAAGAAAAAGCACTGGCGTGCCTACTAGTGCCAGGCATTAGGCACTGAGAAGGTTAGAGTGAGCAAGACAGATGCATTCGTGCAGGCAATGGCCTCAAATCAACTGAATATTTATTAAAATAAACTGAGCTAAGGGGAAGAATAATTGCTTTAAAATAGCTAATCCAGGGGCACCTGGGTGGCTTAGTCGGTTAAGCGGCCGACTTTCGCTTAGGTCATGATCTAGCGGTTCGTGGGTTCGAGCCCCACGTCGGGCTCTGTGCTGACTGCCAGCTCAGAGCCTGGAGCCTGCTTCAGTCTGTGACTCCCTCTCTCTCTGACCCTCCCCTGCTCACGCTGTCTCTCTCTCTCTCCTAGAAATAAATAAAACATTAAAAAAAAAAATTTTTTTATTAAAATAAAAAATAAAATAAAATAGCTAATCCAACCGCCTCTGTGTGAACTACTTCTTCTCTAATAGGCAAAATAATTTTCATATTAAAGTCAATTTGAATTGTCTCTATAAAAAAGTAATGTTGAAATTAGTTTGTCACCAAAACATTATTAGATTGTGAGTAGGTTCAAATTGTGAGTAGGTCATGAAAAGAAAGCTAACTGCCAAGATGAAATAAGACAAAAATACTGATAAGGATTAAATAAAAAGCTTATATTACTTTATTTTCAAATGTTCTTCTAAAAATTCAAAAATGTTTGCATTCTGTATTTTAAAGCTTAAGATGAGTAACTAAATAAATTTTAACAGTAATCCATTTATACATTTTGACTTCCTAAATTATAAAGACCTTTATTCCACATTGGCATCAGTGGCAACGTCAGTGAAGTTCTACCATAAATTCTGGAAGGCAGCTCACAATGGAAATTGCATTTTTCCCTGAGGAAAGACATTTATAAGGTCATTAGGTATTTAAAAGCTAAAGAATATATCAATTTCTGACTAGTACCCTATGGGATCATTCAATTATCTTATATACACTATTATTGTGTTGTAATACTGAATTTTTAAGATACCGGATAAGGGATTCTACCTTGTCCCACACACATTTCACTGTTTTAACTAAATTACAGAAAACCAGAATTTCAATTAATGTTTGTACTTGGTATATCTTTTTCAGAAATTCTTTTTTCTAATCTTCACTATTCTGTATGCTAACAGATTTCCCTAAAATGTCAAAATGGCCTAGCTTCTAACTCTGAATTAAAATTTGTAACAAAAACTATTAGTTTTTAAAGGCATGACAACAAATACCACAGTGCAGTGAGAGGGAGCTCAGCCCTGTGATTAGCAGCACAGACTCTAGCACCGCACTGGACACCAGGTGTAGAACCACGGGCAAGTTTAACCTCCCTCAGTTTTCTGATCTGTAAAACTGACAAGCAGGGGGCGCCTGGGTGGCTTAGTCGGTTAATCGTCCGACTTTCGCTAAGGTCATGGTCTCGCGGTTCGTGGGTTCGAGCCCCGCGTCGGGCTCTGTGCTGACTGCCAGCTCAGAGCCTGGAGCCTGTTTCAGAGTCTGTATCTCCCTCTCTCTCTGACCCTCCCCTGCTCACGCTGTCTCTCTCTCTCTCCTAGAAATAAATAAAACATTAAAAAATATTAAAAAAAAAAAACTGACAAGCAAGTGGTGATGAGGCTTAAACTGACTAAATTATGTAAAGCACTTAACACTGTGCTGATACTCTTTTCATTACTATTTCAAAGATCATTAAAATTTGTTAGACAATTACACGTATTTCTGGGTATAAAGGGTTTGTGTGACTATGACCCTGGGTTGAAGAAACTCTTTTTTTTTTTTTTAAGGGGAGACTTAAGGAACTTGTCTTTTTTTTTTTTTTAATTGATTTTGAGAGACAGAGAAAGAACAGTTGAAGGGCAGGGAGGAGGGAGGGGGGGGGAGAGAGAGAGAGAGAGAGAGAGAGAGAGAGAATATCAAACAGGCTCCACACTGCCAGAGCAGAGCCCAACACAGGGCTCGAACTCACAAAACTGTGAGATTAATAACCTAGGCCGAAACCAAGAATTAGACTCTTAACCAACTGAGCCGCCCAGGAGCTCCCTGGTTCAAGAAACTCTTTAAAAATATCATTCTGATCTAACACTTGAACATTTTAACATCTCTTTATGTCACTCATATTTATAACCATAATCTAAGACATCAAATTGTCCCGAGTTAAATTCTCATTCTGTAACATATGTTCAAGTATATCATATGAGGAAAAGATGAAGGAAAAGTGGGTAGATTAAAGGGAGGGAGAGAAGGAGGGAGAAAAGAAAGGAAAGAGATACGTACAGGGAAGAGGCAGGGAGAAGCTGAGGGAGGCTAGTAGGAAGAGGGGCAGGGAGGAATCCCTCACAATGTCTCCTAGCTATCGCCACCCTGTATCACACTTGCCCTTTATAACCAAATTTCTTGTCTCTAAATGATTTGTCTCCATTTTTTTTCTTCCTCCCCCAGCCCTCATCACTCCATTGGATCCATCATTTTCCTTTCAATTACTATTAAATGAAATGATAACCTCTTGCTTGATCTTTCTTTACTTCTCCAGAGCACCTGCTCCCATGATCCTCCCTGTTTCTGAAACTCCTCCCTGGTACCTGCGATACCACTATCTCCTAAATTTCTTCCTAACAGTTTGACTATTTTGTCCTTGTTTCCTTTTCAGGCTCTTTCTCCATTCAATCTTAAGTTCCACTGTTCCCTACACCCTCTGTTCTTCCCAGTGTCCACACTATTATCACTTTCAAAACCTATTATTTAGATAATGTCTTATAAGCTAGTAACATCTAAGTTCACATGTCTCAGTACACACCACCTGCAGACCTCCAGATTCATATACTCACCCAACTACCAGACAGTTCCATTTAGCTGTCAAGTAGTATGTCACACTTACCCATCATCTTACATAAACCTGCTTTGCTTCAGGCTTTCCATCCGAGTTAATAGCACCTCAAAGAACTATTTGCCCAAGCCAGAAATGATACCATTAGGTGCCAACCTCACTCCACAGCACAGTCACACTGTGCTACTAACAGTTCTAATTATGCCATAACTGTTCAATATCTCTGTGACCTCACAATATACCACCTAAGTAAAAGCCATAACTGTGGAGTCAAAAATGGATTCAAATTTGGGGCGCCGGGGTGGCTCAGTCAGTGAGTCACTTGGTTTCACGATCTTGCGGTTTATGAGTTGAGGCCCCGCATTGGGCTCTACACTGACAGTGCCACGCCTGCTTGGGATTCTCTAAAATTTTCTTCATCTGAAAATGATGAAAGAATATGTAGCTCAAAACAAAGCTATACAGCTTAAATTAGATGATGTATGTAAATCACTTCATTGTTCTAGATAGGTATATGATAAATATTCAGTAAATGGAAGTTGTCATTGAAGTTATCATTTGTCAACATTCAAAACAAGCTTACCCAGGAATCTTTTCACCTGCTCCACTACCACCCAACCATAATACAATTTAAATGTCCCACTATCAACATACGACAGAATTTCTAAGGAATAATTATAATTAAAACAACATATATAATCTATAGGATACATTTAAAGCAAAAATTAGAAAAAAATCTACAGTACTGAACACTTCAATCAATTAAAAAAAATTACCGAATAAAAGCCTAGCTCACAAACTAACATTGAAATAACAAAGAGGAGCGCCTGGGTGGCTCAGTTGGTTAAGCATCCGACTTTGGCTCAGGTCGTGGGTTCAAGCCCCACATCGGGCTCTATGCTGATGGCTAGCTCAGAACCTGGAGCATGCTTCAGATTCTATATCTCCCTCTTTCTCTCCTCTCTCCTGCTCTCCTGCCCATGCTGTCTCTCTCTCTCTCTCAGAAATAAATAAAAAAAAGAAAGAAAAGAAACAACAAAGAAAATTCAGAAAGCACAATAAACAAAATAAAGATAATGCAGATACTGAAGTAAATTAAGAAGAAAAGTAAACCTTATTAACAAAATCCCTGAATTTCTAAAAGAATAAATATATAAAATAGTAGTCAACTTATTAAAAATGAAAGGGAGAGGGGTGTCTAGGTGGCTCAGTTGGTTAAGCATTCAACTTCAGCTCAGGTCATGATCTCACTAGTTTGTGACTTCGACCCCCACATCAGATTTGCTGCTATCAGTGCAGAGCCCACTTTGGATCCTCCGTCTCCCTTTGTCTCTCAGCCCCTTTTCTGCTTTCTCTTGCACACTCTCTTTCTCTCAAAAACAAACATTTCCAAAAAATTAAAAAATGATAAAAGGAGGAAGGTACAAATGTACAAATTAAATAACAAGGGGACATAATGAAAGCATGAGAATATTTTTAATAATAAAACTCCTCTGTAGGAGGAGACTTCTGATATTATGAAAAACATGTATTGGAATACCCCCAGCAATACTGTTCATAACAGCAAATAAGTGAGAACAGCCTAAATACCTACTGAGAGTTGAACAGCTAAATGAGCTGTGGCATAATCATACATTACAGTTTTTACATCTCTGAACATAAAGAGACTATAGGTATATGCAACAACACGGAGGAGATATACATATATACAATAAACTGTATCTTTACAAAAGTAAGGCAAACATAACACAAAATTTAAGACAGCAGTTCCCTTTGGAGGAAAGCATAGGGAAAGGACAGAAGAAGAGTACAAGAATTGCTAATAT